GTGACTGTACCCTGCGTTTTGTGGACTCTGACTCAAGTCCCTCCAGGACCGAGGCTGCCCAGAGGTTTCCCAGGCCAAGACCTTAAGGAAGCCACGGTCACATCTCCCAGGGCGGCTCGTGGATTCAAACCACTGACCTTTCCCTCAACAGCCAAGTGCTTAACCACGCACCACCACAGCTCTGTTCATCAGCCAGAGAGCTGGCTCTGCCCTTAACATACCACACTGTGCGGTCAGTTCCGATTTGGGGATGCAGGTCCAGGCACGTCCATGGGGTCAGCCCAGCACTCGGGGCCCCTTGCTGACCCTCTGCACTAGAAAGTGTGAAGTCACTGACCTAAACGGGTCTTTCCCAACGACCTGCCCAGGGTCAGTGAGCCCACAGCTGTCCTCACGCCGAGGCCTGTGGGCATCTGTGGGACAGCGAGGGGCAGATGAGTGCCCATCAGAGCTCTGTCGGTGGGCCATCCAGGGGACAGTGAGGTTCTGCCGTGGTCCCTCTCTATCCCAGGGAATAGTCAGGTCCCATCACAGCCCCTCTCCATGCCAGGGGACAGAAGTATCCTGGACCGGCCCTCCACACAGTAGAAGGAAGCTGGGCTGGAGCAGGCCCCAAACCCACAGTCCAGGTCCAGAGCCCCGGCTCTGACGTGAGGAGGAGTCTACAGGCCCATAAAGAATACACTGCCTTCCACCTGGACGAGCAGGACAAGGAGACACCCCACACACTCAGAGGCCAACCTATAAGCGTGGTCAGGGAAACGGCCGGGACCCTCCAATCCTCGAGTACACCCCCTGCAGCCCCCGTGCGGGCACCTTGGGGGCCAATGAGGAACAAAAGGACACAGCTCCGAGCAGGCCCAGGCCACCTCCTGCCTCCCTGGGGGACCAGCTATGGAGTCCGTCCATTCGTGAAGAGGCTCAGGGCGAGGCCGTGGTCCTCCAGGGCTTCTGCCTGACCAGGCCGCAGTGACAGTGACCACAGGGCCCCAGGCCTCACCCTCAGCCTCTTCCCAGCCCAGGTGGTGCCCTTGCTTTCAGCTCCACCGTCTCCTCCTCCCAGAAACCTTCCCGGACTGCCCTGCCAGGACAGCACCCTCACTCAGGGGACTCTCCTCGCCGGTTCCCTGAGGAACTTTCTAGAAGGGCAGGGCCATTTTCCTCAGTGCGGCACAACTGGACAGTCACGAGCAGAGGGGACCAGCCACCGCAGGGCAGAGTGGCATCAGGAGGCCAGCGGTCAGGCCCAGAAGGAACACCATGGGGACGTGGATCCACACGGGCCCTCAGTACCCCAGGGGAGGCCACGTGGGGGCATGGGGACTGGCCAGGCATTGCTGCAGTCTATGGGGACACTGACCGTCACCTGGGCAGCTGTCTCCGTGTGTGAGGGTTTGCACAGCACTGCTCCCAGCATGCTGGCCTGTCCATCACACAGGCTCCCCACCCCTCATAGCACACTTGGGGTCTCTCTGCACAGCACCCCACCTGTACCCCACCTCTTAGACCTTGCCCCAGCATCACAGACACCTTTCCCATACCCGCACTATCTTCAGTCCCAGGGCTGCCACTCCCATTGGCTCTCCTGCCACGAGGCTCACCCCTAATCCACTGCCCTCCCCTCTAATGAGGCCCGCAGATCCCCGCTCCTCCCCACCAGGACCAGGACCAAACTGTGGTCAAACCGCTCCTGCAGAGAGAGACCCTCGGCCGAGGTCCAAGGCGCCCAGAACAGAGAAGGCCCTTCCAGAGATGCTCAAGCTTGTCTCTCTGCCTCTCAATTATGGACAGTCACTTCCCAGACCCCAAACCAGAGTCCTCTCCGCCTTCAGTGTCCCCAACCCTGAGGGACCAGCACAAAAGACACATGAAGAGAGAGGGAGACTGGAAGAGAGAGGCAGAGGGAGAGACAGAGAGGGGCAGAGGGAGAGAGAGGGGCAGAGGGAGAGAGAAAGAGGGGCAGAGGGAGAGAGAGGGGCAGGGAGAGGGAAACAGAGAGGCAGAGAGAAATGGGGGGCGGGGGAGGGAGGCAGAGGGAGACAGGAGGCAGGGAGAGGGGAAAAGAGAGAGGGAGATAGAGAGAGACACAGGGAGAGAGAGATACAGAAATAGAGAGACACACACACACACAGCTCAAGGAACAGAGAGACCCAGGGTAAGACAGGGATGAGGAGAGACAGAAACGTAGAGAAAGGGCAAGAGAAGGGCAGAGAGAAATGAAGAGACAGAGACACAGAGAGAGGGAGAGACTCAGAGAATGAGAGACAGAGAGAAATGGAGGAAGAGATGGTGAGACGGAGGCAGAAGACAGCTGAAACAGTGGTCAGTGCTCTTCTGGAGGTAGCCCAGGTGGCCGGCCAGGTGACAGAAGGCTCACAAACAAGCCAACTGCTGTCCACGTTGGGGACCCAGTGCCATGAGAGAGGGCACACGGATGAACCAAGTCCAGATTGACACCTCCTGAGATGGTCAGCTGGGGACTGAGAAGTGGACACAGAGCACAGGGTGGCAGGACCCTGGTCTGTTACCCTGGTGGTCACCTGGCAGGCAGGTCCTGTGGTGAGTGACAAGGACCCAAGCACTGGGTCAGCCAGGTGGACAGGACAGGGTGACAGGGACATGTGGCCCAGCCGAGGCAGCACAAGACACCTGTCCACTCTCAGACCCACCCGGGCAGGGCTAGGAGGACACAGTGCCGTGACAGACACATTTCACAGGTTGTTCCTGAACCCAGTGATGCCACTCACAACCCCACAAAGTCACACCCCAGCCGGTCACGCTGCAAGGGTACACACAGGGCCAGGCCTCACACCCATCACCCGACATGGTCACACAGGGATACACGCAGGGCCGGGCCTCACCCCACGCCGTCACACTGCGGGGTACACTAAGGAGTGGTCCTCACCCCAAGACCGCACAGCCTTTGCTGAAGACGCCCGGAAAGCACATTATAAAACCCTTCCCTCCCTGAAGCCTCTTCCCTTTGAAAAGTCGTCACCGATGTCACACGGCTCTAGCCACGTCCACAGTCCACCGTCCACCGTGGCCGTGACGGAGAGCTGGGGAGGCCCTCGTCGTGGTCTTGTGAGCCGCACTCTCTTGCTTCCAGAAGGCCCTGGCCCGTGCCCACTGCCTCCAGGTGCCCCTGCAGTGCCTCCTACAGCCTGAGTTCCCGAGTACTGTCCCCTGGGGCTGCCTCGCCCAGATCCCCCACAGACCAGGCTCCAGGGGGCTTGCCCAGCACTGGGCCTGCTGCCCACATGCTGTCCCTCTCCTGCTCCCCACTTGCAGGGACAGTGTCCCCTTCAAAACTCCCCTTGGGTTCCGGAAACTTCCTGCCCCCTGAAGATAGGACAGCACTCGAGTGGAGGACAGTGGGGAACAAAACTGGGAACACGGAAACCCAACTTCCTGGTCAGAGGGAAACAGCGATCCCCCAACATGTGGCCTGGTCAGTCCACTGGTCTGCCTGGAAGAGTAGAGGGACGGCGCAACAGAGGGGGGCCCCTGACCACGCTGACTGACAGAGACCACAACGGGCTGGAGCACAGTGGACATGGTGAAGACAGCGCGGGACAGCACAAGGTTCACATCTACTGCTCACAGGGCCGCTGTGACCCCAGCCAAGTCGACCTTCCAGCCCCTGACAACAACGAGGTGACCAGTGCACCAGGCGGGTGCCCAGAAAACAATCAACCCCAGGCACCCACAGAGAAGATGTGCCCATGGGTCAGGCCGGCATCGGGCAGCAGGGTGTGCGGACGTGGGGTGCGCAGGGCATGTGGAACGGCCTGTTCCATCCTGAGGTCAGCCATGGACATACCAACTCGCCAACTGTTAAATGGAAAATCAATGTGCCCCGCAAGCTCCCTCCCCAAACCCGTCAACAGTGAGTGGAAGCCGAGTTGCCCTGCACACCCGCAAGGGGGCCAGAGGTCTCTCCGGGGAGCACCCACTCCTGCTTCTGGCGGCCCCCTCCCCACAGTCCAAGGCCACCCTGCAGGCCTGTGGCTGGACAGGGCATGGGGCCCTACCCCCTGCTCCCTGGCAGTCTCAGCAGAACTTGAGGGGCAGTCCTCATCATGACAGCTGGTCAGCCTGAAGGGTCAGGCGATGGAGGGAAGCCGGGAGGTCTGCTCCCCCGCCCCCCGCCCCAGGCTGCCCTGGGGAGCAGTCCTTGCCCCAACTCCCAGCCAGGGCTGCCCTCACTGACCTCTAAGAGCAAGGGAGCCAGATAAGACAGGCCCGGAAAAGCTACCTGGGGGCCACTCATGGACTACTGGGATGGGTAGAGGGAGGGGAAGGACCCGGAGCTGGCTTCAACTGGAAGCCCCCACGTAAGTGGCCCGCAGAGAGAGAGAGGAGTGGCCAACTTGCAACTGGAATGAAGCCAGAGCGGCGGGGGAGTGGGGGAGGGCTGGGAGAGGCTGCGAGCTGGGGTCCCAAAGAGGGGCGCATCCAGGCGTGTCCAGTACACACGAAGGGGCTGGAAACAGAGGTTCCCCAAAACCAAGTGTTCTAGAATCGCTCCCTAGCTGACTGGGGAATCCAGAACCACCACTCCCAGAGGCACTCTGCGACAGGGGAGGGCGGGGAAGGGTCCCCGGAACACCAGAGAGGGAAGGGTCCTGGAACCCCCAAATCGCCCAACACAAAGTGGAGTGGACCAGTCTGAGTCTGGGGACGCAGGAAATACAACATGGAATGAGAGGAGCCCCAGAAGAACGCAAACAGAAACGCCTTGAGACAGCGGTCCCCAAGCTTCGGACCCCTCCTAACCCCGGGCCAGTGGGGCGCCCCGTGGCTCCAGTCCAGGAATCTGCGGGCAGGTCCCAGGTTTGGTGACGCGCCCCCACTGACGACTCTCCCATCGGAGTCCAGGGACGGAGCCCGGAAGGGGCGGCTGAGAGGCGGCTGCGTCCCCAAGTGCGGGGAGCCCCGGGGAGGCGGCGGGGCGACGGAGGGGTCCCGAGCCCAAGCGGAGCGCGCGGGGGACTCACACTGCTGTTCTCTCCGGTCCAGTGCACCATCGCCTGGTTGTGCGTGGCGTCCCCCTTGAGCACGAACGACGTGCTGATGAGCGAGACCTGCGCCCGTGAAGCCGCCCCGGCCCCCGGCGCCGCCCGTGCGCTGCGCCTCCGAGCGGGACCCGGAGCGGGGCCGGAA